TGATGAATGGCAGACAACTTACCTTGTCTCTTCCACACGGATGAGAGTAGCTTGTGGCCTTGTATGTAATGGGGCATCATGGAGACTCTGTGCTCTTGTGCAGAGCATGTTGAGTTGACTTGCTGGGGCTCTCTCCAGTGCCAGCCATGGGGCAGACTGGTGCAGGGACTCCCAAATACTCAGCTGAGGAAAGAGAAGCCAAATTCTTGCCATCATCATCGCCACAGGCTCCCCTAGGAAATGCTGTGGTCTGCCTGGGAATGATGGCGAAAGTCCAGCCCACATGTATGAAAATTGTAGGGTAAGAGTGAGGTGTTCCTGGTCACACATCAGAAAAAAGTATTTGCAGGAAAGAACTCCAGGCCTACAGAAAGCCCTACCTCAGCTCAGAGGCTCAGGAAAGGTGTAGCATACAATCTCTTCTGGTTTGTTTTATGGTACAGTCTCTGGAATGAAATAAGACCTTGTGTCCACAACTGGAGTGCAGGAATAAGACCTTTGTGAAGTCTTTGACAGCAACCAGGACCTGAGAGTCATGCATCATGATTTTTCTTGTTTCAGTGTTTTGAGCCATGGAGATAAATACATCTTTGTCTTTGTCCCAGCCAGCAGCCTGTACAGCACCATTTGTATTTCAAGATTAGTGTCTTGATGTGACGTGGGTAGAGGGCACACATGTGACTTGTCCTGTTCTCTGTGCCCTAGTCAAGATGCGGCAAGTGTGAGAAGGGGATCAAGTGTCCTGCTGGATCAGTTCTTGTGGTGAGTTCTGTATTCGTGCGGTATCTCAGAGACTTTGCAGAGACTGCTTTCATGTCCTTTTATTGCTCTATAGAAGTCATCTCAATACCTGAAAAAATGTGCCCTTGAGTCCTCTGTGGCTCAATCATTAAGCAAGGTATGTAAGAGAAGCAGAGGTTTATGCAGGAAAAAAACACCATGAACCATGAGGCTCCTCACAGAACTTGCACCAGACTTCACCTGAATTTCAGGAGCCCTTTAGAGCATGTGGTATGGGGAGTTTCCCCCCTTGGGGAAGAAAGAGATGTCCTTTGGTCTTTGACTGGTTTGAGATTGTCATCAAGGAGAGGCAGCTCAGAGGTGCCAGCAGCAATTTCCCAGCCTGGAACACGGATTTGTTCACACAGATGGGCTGGTTGTGCCTGCAGCTTGTTTGGGAGCGTGACAAACATTTCCAGACAGGAAAAACTACTCAGTATTTCACCTCCATGCTGGCTACAGATTGCCCAGCAGCCACATCTGGCTTCTTGGGCTCTGTTCCTTTACTCTATGCCAAAAGTTTTCCAATTACTTCTTCTCAGTATTCGTAGTGACATGTATACCATGGATTTGGCAGGTCAAAAATAGACTCTGTGGTGTGACCTTACATCTAGAGATGCCTCATTGGTCTCAGCTCTGGATAGTCCAAATTTTTAGGGCTGTTCCTGTAGGATAAAAGCTTTATTCCTCTGTAAAGCAAGAACACTGCCAAATGTGCCCAAAAGGTACAATATTTGTCTAAATATTGTAGTATCTTCTATCTCCATCTGTGTTAATTATATCTGCAGGAATTGCCAGGAAGCAAGAATCTCGCTCGCTGTGAGTTACGCTCAGGGGATACAGGAATACTTGGCTGCCATTTCACCTGTGCAAAAGTTTCTCTGGTAAGAAAAACATTTGCCTCGGATTTATTTTGACAAAGCAAGATGGAAATTGGAAATACAGCCTGTGTTGAAGTCCTGGCTGCATTTGTGCTGTTGCATAGCTGAGACTGAGCTGGTTGAGAGTCACTCTCCACCCTGGAGATAGAGGGCCTTGGAGGAAAAAACACTGTGGAAATGTCTGCATAGTGATGGATTGGGATCTGCTGCTTTGACATTGTTGCTCTGGGGTTTGTTCTGCAGAGGAAGAGAAGGAGTTGAATGTTTGTAGTCTGGTTTCCTAAGGAAATGAGACATGAATGATGGTATTTCACATGTGCATGTGCCTTCCTGAATAACTGATGACTAATTGGAGCTGAAGCAAAGGGAGGAGCAGAAGGTCTCACAGCTATTGTGACCCCTACCAGTTTTGTGAAAATGTGTGGCCAGAAAACATTTGAAGAGGAAATGGTAAATAAGACATTTGTGTGAATTTGAGCTCTTCTAGATATTTCAGCATCTCCCTGGAACATTTAGTGGGAATGGGAGATTGAGGAGAAGGGAGAGAGTGAGTTGGACACACCTTCTGGCAGAGCCTCTCTCTGCCCAACAGTGTCTTACTGGTGGGACGTGTTAAGGACCCAGGCAGGAGGTAGGCTGGGTGGACATTTTCTTTACTCACCAAATGGCCAGTGTTGCACAAGGGCAGTATGGACCTTTACAGAGCACCCCATTTTGGAAGTTCACTCTGTCCTACCTGCCCAGAGTGGCCCTTTCATCCATTGTCAGAAGTGATGGAACTTAAAGGAACAGAGAAGCTTCCACAGTAAAGCTGTACCTTGTCAGTGCTGCACAAGGTGACTCTACCAAACTTGTTCTTGTTGGCTCTCCAGAGATCCGTCTGCTGCCCTGGCTACTACGGACACATGTGTGAGATGTGCCCAGGGAAGCCAGGCCAGTGGTGCTCCGGGAATGGGGAATGCCAGGACGGCATGGAGGGCAGCGGGGAGTGCCGGTGCCTGGAGGGCTTCCACGGCACCGCCTGCGAGATGTGTGAAGTTGGCCGGTATGGAGCTGACTGCAGATCAGGTGACACCGATGGCTATTGCAGCTTGTCTCTACCATTCTGCTTGCAAGGGGACAAAAGTGGCTACATCTCAGCACTTGGGAGGGGTGGTTGGAGGGAAGAAAAGTCCCAAGACCTCTGAGACACAAACAGCTGGCAGGCTGCCAAGAGAGGGAGAGTGGGAGCGAGCGCTTGTGGTCAGCTGGAGGGGTGGCCCCGTTTTTCATCCTCAGAGGCACGACTGACACTGCCGTGCTGCTCACCCTGCTGCCACCCAGGCTGCAGAAGGAAGAGGCAGGTCTGTTCCTGGGCCTTCTGGCCTAGTAGCCAGGGAACAAGGGCTGATACTCCTGTGATATTTTCTTTATGGCACCTTGATGTATTGGATGAGGAACAGCCAGCAAAATGGCAGCAAGACTCTCTGAGACCTGGTTGGTTTGGCAGTGATGAGTGTTTGTCTTTCCCCTACAGAATGTGCCTGTGACAATGGCATATGTAACGATGGGCTGCAAGGGGATGGGAGCTGCCAGTGCTTCCCAGGGTGGAAGGGCCCTACCTGCCAAGAAAGTACGTGAGTGTGAAGGGGCCTGTGGGGTAATATTGCCTTTTTGACAGAGAAATCTGTGTGATCCTGTTTAGTTGCCAGAGCAATCCTGTGTTAGCTGAGCAAGGTGACCACTGCTGCATGTACTTTGTGTGTCCCCAAAAGCTAATCTGGCTGTGCTAGCTCATTCCTGCACGCCAGCTGCATCTTTAGTGTGGCTTCCCCAACAACAAATCAACCCTTGAGATATTTGGGTGAAATTGACAGAGAAAAGTATATCCCCTGCTTCCGTCTCCTCTGGGATTGGAGGCACCTCAAGAACAGCCCCTTGCCCTTGGAGAGAGAGATGGAAGCTCCCAGACAGATTGGGTTAGTCATGACTCTTGTTACTTACCTAAGAAGGTCGCAGGGCTTGATTTGGAGCCCCCAAAGGGCCCAGTGCTGTGTTGCTTTTTTGCTCACAGATCCATTGATTTGGAGGAGCTCAGGCCATGCTCTGCAGTTCTCAATAATTCTGTCATGGTGTGTCAAAGTAATATGTTGAAGATGATTGTTCCTGGGATTTGGGATTATGATTACCACTGGGGTGGGGAGGAACCTGAGCTCCTAAATACTTTGGGATTTTAAAGGTTTGCATCCAAAGACTGATTTTGTAGTGAAGTCAGATGTTTTGGAGCCAATAGAAAATTGAAGGTGTCCTATCTAGTGTAAGTGTAAAGCATGAAGAAAGTTCATCTTTTTGCTTAGAAAAGGGCAAAGCCAAATGGTCCTGAGTGTCTGGATGAATGAGGTTTCAGTCCTTGTTTCATCCCTAGCAGTGTGGAGGCCATGCAGATAGGATCAAGTTGAACCATTGGCAGACACAGAACATGGCATTCACTCCACTGTGAAATAAATGCCAAAACAAATCCCATGAGTTTTTCCTCATTTTCCTTTTTAAGGCTAGAGAGTTAGCATAACTGCTGGTGTGTCCCATCATCAGTCAGGGCACCAGAAGGTGCTGAATAGAAAATGCCAAGTCACGTTTGTGTTTTCTCTTGCAGGAATCAAGGTTGACTTATGCAATAACACTTGCCATCAAATGGCCAAGTAAGTACAGACAAGGGGCTGGGTCACTCTGACAAAGCCACCAGGTGATTCTGTGTATAGGGCTTCACAGAGGGCTGGGAGAAAGTGCCTACTTACTAAGGGTGCATAAATGCCAGTTCCATTCTGGGAACTTTTGTGGGTGCTAAGCTGCATCCAGTTTCCCCAAGGATTCTGTCTGAGCGTAAATTATTTCCAAGTTTCTTCTGCATGAGTGGATGGGAGAAAGGAGAGGCTCCAAGTCTGGCTTTATTCATGGAGCAAACCAAACAACCATTTACAAGCCCTTTCTGCCTTGCCTGCCCCCACTAAGGAATTAAATAGGCTAATGGGCTGGGATAACTTGCGCTTGCTGCCTGGTCTCCTAGTTTGTGGTCCCAGAACCCAGCCATCTCCATTGTCCCATGCAGAAGCACATGGCCATGGTGAAGGTGCAGGGTGTGAGGTGTGAAGCCTGTGCCTGGCTGCCAGCTCCCTGGCCTGTGTGACTTGCGTATTTGATGCTGTGAAGAAATACACAGCAACTTCAGGCATGTCCCTTCCATGATCGTTGTGGTCTCTAAGCTGCATGTACCAGGCTTGTGTCATGTTGCCCTCTGGCTGAGCACATCGGGAGGTGTCATCAGTGATTGTTTTATCTCTTTCTTGTTTCAGCTGCCTCAACACTTCCACAGATTCCCCACCTATGTGCTTCTGCTCTGCTGGATACACGGGAAATGGGACCCACTGCACAGGTAAGTCCAGGAAGCATGGGCAAGATCCAAGGCTTACAAACACCTGTTGAAGCTACGCAAAGGCAAGGGGTTTGTTTGTGAAATAAATGGCATAATGTTGCCAGGGAAAAGATCACTCAAATTCTTTTTCCTCTCAGCCAATCACCATGAGCTCTGCCATGTTTTGGTTGAGAGGCTTTCCAGTCCCGAGCTTTCCATAGGATGCTCTTGGTGTTGAGGTCTCTTGTTGTGAGAAAGGGATAAAAAGGCAGGCAAGTGTAACTAGACAGATCTTATTGCTTGTGAGAGACATGCACAGGAATGGGTTGTATTCGTTCTGATATCACAGCAATGGTAGCAAAGATGTAACAATTATGGGCATAAATCCCTGCCATACAGATGCTTCAACTCCCTAGAATTTTGTGCTCCTTCTCTTTGCTGGCAATGCCAAAATTGGGTAGAAACAGTGCAGCAGTTGTGCCAAAATGAGGCAGGATTTCAGGATACAGCTCTAGAGCCACATAAAAACCTGGTCTATGTCAAAAGCAAGCAGACAAGAATCATTCAGAGTGATAAAATTGCAACAGCCAAAATACTGGTGTCATCCCAGTTTGTTTTCAGTATTATCCTTGTCTGAAAATGACTGAGAAGGAAAAAAACCAAAACCAAAACAACACTTGTGCAGGAAATTTGTATTTTCTTGCTTAAGAAAAAAGTCCTCAGTGATCAAATGCTTAGACAAAAAGAATTCCTAGTCCAATTTTGGGGTTAGTTAAGCTCAGCATGACTTTTGGAGTGGCCTTTCTCAGATCCGGGTGAGGCTCCGTGCCTTTACAGTGCTGACAGTTTCATCAAGAAACAGAGATTTTATTACAATGTTCCGATTCTTTTTGAGAAGGATGGTTCTGGCACAGTTCATCTATCCTAGGTGCTCTGAGCTAATTCTGCTTCTCTTCTTTGTGTCACAGAAATTGATCCATGCACCACTGACCATGGAGGCTGCTCCGTACACGCCGTGTGCACTAAGGTGTCCCCGGGAGAGAGAACCTGTGTTTGTAAGGAAGGTTACGCTGGGGACGGGACGCTCTGCATGGGTGAGTGCTCAGAAAAGCACCATCCAGGCAAAGGGGAATTTCAGACAAAAAGCCTTAAAATTTCCGGTTGAAGTGTTGAATAACTCAATTCTCCTTTCACTTTGTTCATGCAGTGGTTATTTCAAAGCAAGTAGTTGCTGGCTGATCTTGCTTCAACTGCCTTTCTGCTTTTTATTGAGGCATACGCACACAAACATGTATGTGTGTGTGTACAGACATACCTGCAGGTATGTCCTCAACATTCTCCCAAGTCAGGATTAGTGAAGTGACCATCACTGTCTCAGTAAAATACCACCCAAAACTGGGCAGAGAGCCCACACTACCCTTGGCACCTGTCTCACTGGACGGATCAGTGTTTTAGTCTCAAATCAAACCAACCCTGAGAGGTTTCCTGCCCTGATGCATGTTGTGGAGAGGTCCAGAGGGCGAGGGCAGCCTCCCACAGTGGTACTTTGAGATTAGGATGGAGCTGTGGGAAGAGTTCAGTCCATTTGTATCCTTTAAAACAGACCCAGGCAGACATGGAATTTTCTATGGGCAGATTCATCTCAACTCAGAGATCCACATCTGGCAAGGGTAGAACTTGCAACTTGTAGTTCTTCCCTGCTCCTTCGGTATCATGAGTCACTTTTCTAAAAGATATTTCCCAGGCTGGGAAAGTCCTCCATGTTTCTTTCCCAGATCCTCTTTTGGGTCACCAACTCACAGCTGCCTTGAGCAGCCCTCAGCAATGATGTGGTCTTACTGTTTTGCTGCAGAAATTGATCTCTGTCTCGAAAGCAACGGGGGCTGCCACAGCAACGCAGAGTGCATGAAAACAGGCCCAAAGAAGGTAAGGATGTAAGATGGGTGTCAGGGCAACATCACTATGGAGGTTGTTACAGCTGTGTAGTTCTCTCAAAGACAGTCCTTTCCATGCCAGTGCTCTCTGCCTTCCACATTGAAGAGCTGCCTGAAAAGGACATGAAAAAATTGCTGTTTCCTTGAAAGTAGATGCTTTCTGTTGACCAGAGGCTGGAGGCAGTCTCAGGTTATATTTGTTGTTGTATGTTTGTATATTTGTTGCTTGTCTGTACAAGTATGACTATTCAAGTGTATGATGGATGCTGGGGGTCCTGGTAGACAGGAGGATGACCATGAACCAGCAATGTGCCCTTGTGGCCAAGAAGGCCAATGGCATCCTGGGGTGCATTAGAAAGGGTGTGGTTAGTAGGTCAAGAGAGATTCTCCTCCCCCTCTATTCTGCATTGGTGAGGCCACATCTGGAGTATTGTGTCCAGTTCTGGGCCCCTCAGTTCAAGAAGGACAGGGAACTGCTTGAAAGAGTCCAGCACAGAGCTATGAAGATGATTAAGGGAGTGGAACATCTCCCTTATGAGGAAAGGCTGAGGGAGCTGGGTCTCTTTAGCTTGGAGAAAAGGAGACTGAGGGGTGACCTCATCAATGTTTACAAATATGTAAGGGGTGAGTGTCAGGGGGACGGAGTTAGGCTTTTCTCGGTGATGACCAGTGATAGGACAAGGGGTAATGGGTGTAAATTGGAGCATAGGAAGTTCAAGGTGAATATCCGAAAAAAATTTTTTACTGTGAGAGTGACAGAGCACTGGAACAGACTGCCCAGGGAGGTTGTGGAGTCTCCCTCACTGGAGACATTCAAAACCCACCTGGATGAGTTCCTGTGTGATGTACTCTAGGTGACCCTGCTCTGGCAGGGGGGTTGGACTAGATGATCTCTCGAGGTCCCTTCCAGCCCCTAAGATTCTATGATTCTATGATTCTATGATTCTATGATACCACATGCTTTCCATCCAGCTCAGCCACCGTGTGCTTTTTGTTATTGGGTCCAAGTTTCAGACTCTCTGTGCTCCCCCAGGTTGCCTGCAACTGTCTTCCTGGTTACAGTGGGGATGGTGTGAGCCAGTGCAACCCCATCAACTTGTGTGAACAGGTATGTCTGCATCCTGCTGTTACCAGAGGTGGAGGCCACAAGCTTGAAGTATCCCTTTCTCCCAGCAGGGTTAGTCTGTAGTTTTGTGTGGAACATACACAAAAGCTTAAAAGTAATCTGTGTTCATGGCATTGCTCTGATTTCAAAATCTCTCTCTGAATCATAGCATGTTTCTGTCATCACTGTGGGTTCCAAAGGTGCAATTTTTTTATTTTTTTTTTCCCCAGTAGGATTTGGTGCTGGAAAGCCCTTGAGGATATGGATGAGGTTTATTTTGAGGCACTAGACAGATGGGAGGAGTGGTTTCCTTTCCACTGTGGTGGATGTAGTTAGCAGCTCCCACATGCAAGTGGCTCTTCAAACTGTTGGTGCTGCCCCTCCATGCAAGCCTTTGCTTTTCTTGCCAGAACAATGGAGGCTGCAGCCCATTTGGAATCTGCAAGTACACAGGCCCTGGCACCCGGAACTGCTCCTGCTCCTGGCACAGCGTTGGAGATGGCTTCACCTGCCGTGGCAAAGTGTATCAGGTGAGAGGCACACGCAGCATCTTTCGTGTTCAGGCCTCCTGCCCTGCAGCAAACTGCTCCCTCCCCTCCAAGTAGAAGCTGCAGGGGAGCAATTTGTAGTGTTATATCCACACGTGTGGTGCAGGAGTGGAGGCAGGTGATTTGAGGCAAGCTGTCCTGGGTGTATTTGGTGTTCCAGCTGTGGAAGAGAATCACAATATGGCAACTTTAATCTAGAGAGAGTGAACGCTCTGCTGCTCGGTCAGCAACATTTGCCATACCTCCAAGGTGCTGTTTTCTTAATATTATAAGCAAATGGGAGCAATTTTATTGTTTTCCCAAGGGAACCCATTTTTTCCAGTCTGTGAGATCAGAGGAGGTATCCCCCATAGCCATGTCAGGACTTGGGATCCAGTCTGGAGGGCAGTAATTTATCTCTGCCTCTGTTGCCAATACAGAGGCTGTCCTTGGGCAAACTGGTGACCTTTTGCGGCAGTAGCAAGGAAAAGCTGTCATCCTCACAGCAGAGCTCTGGGCGTGGGAGAGTGACCAGATGTGGAAGGAGCAGGTCACTGTGCTGGCTGGTGGGGAGCAGTGGAAGGGACTCCACTAACATCAGCTGTTTCTCTTTGTTTAAGGAGCTTGGAAGGATCAAAGATGCGTCCGTGTTCTTTAAGATGATACTGGTTGGTGACAAACAGCTTTGTCCTTGTCTCTGTGTAGTAAATCCCACCTTGTCTGCAAAGGGTCTTGCTAACTGGAACCGTGTTTTCTGTTTCCCTTCCCACAAATGCTCTTCTACCACAGTCGGGAAACATCAAGGAGCTCAGTGGGGCAGGGCCTTTCACTGTCTTTGTCCCACGGACAGATTTCATAGGAAACACTACAGTGGTAAGTGCCCTTGCATCTGCCAGGTGTTTGGCAAGCTCCAGTTGTGGCAGTGTCCCTGCTGGGGCTGTTCTGCCAATGAATTCGAGCAAAGGATCTACACAGCAGAGGGCCAAAGGTGTCTCCCATTCTCCATCAGTGGAAGAGCAGAGGTTGGGAGGTGGACTGACTGCAGAGACAGTCTGGGCAGGGGTGGGCATGTTGTAAGGACACCCTTAATGGAGCCCCCACCTCATGGTCCTCAGAGGCACACATCAGTTATGCATGGTGACTTTCATTACCCAATTGCAAACCCAACCTACTGCTGTGATGGGCTTGGGCAATCCAGCTCTCCCTCACTGGGTCAGAGGGCCCAGTGTGATCTCATTCTTGTTTTCTCTCTGTAGTTTGAGGATTGGAGGAGCAGAGGTCTCCTCCAGGACCTGCTTCGCTACCACATGGTGGGTTGCCAGAAATTGCTGTCCAGTGACCTGGAAGCCCAGAAGTCACTCACATCTCTATCTGGCCACAAAATAAATATCACAGTGAAAGAGGTATTTCTCTTCCACAATTCCCAAGTGACTTGCCTAGGATCTGCAGATGGCCTATAAGGCAGTGCTGTGGGCAGGAGAACCTCATTGCATCCCTTCTCCCTCAGAATAGCATCTATCTCAATGAGGAAGCCAAAGTGGTCATGAGTGACATCACTGGCGTGAACGGGGTCATTCATTTAATCAACAAGATCCTCATTCCAAGTGACCTGGTGGACCGTAACATTTCCTCACAGATCTCACAGGTAAGGCTGAAGCAGTGACTGTGCCATGGTGGGGACAGGGCTGGGACCTGATAAACTTGTGTTTAGCTACCAGAGTTGATAACTGCCTGGTTTCTCCGCTGCATTGCTGCTCCAGGTCCTGGAGCGGGGGTTCTTAGCAATGGTTGTCTTCCTTCCTTCCCTCTGCAGCAAAACATTACGGAAGTGGCATCAGCCTTTGGGTACACCATTTATAGCAAGCTGCTGCAGGTGAGCAACCAGACTCAGCTGCTCTGGGGGCAGGTGGTGTGGACAAGTGCACCTTCAGTTTTGGCTTCTGGCTTTTTCGTGGTATCCCCTCTTGTCTCGGGCAGGACGCGGAGCTGCTTCCACTGATTGGTGACCCCCTGCACAGACCCTTCACCATGCTCTGGCCCACGGATGCCACATTTAACGCCCTCTCGGAGAAGCAGCAGAAGTGGCTGTACAGCAGGGAGCACCGGGACATGCTGGCCTCCTACCTCAAAGCACACATGATCAGGGGCACAAAGGTAAATGTGCCACCAAATGGGCTCCTGCCTCCTCAGGCCACATGTGGTGCCACCACCTGCCTATGGTTACACCAGTGTGACCTTGCCCGATATTTTGCTGCAGTAGAATATGCAGCATATTAGTTGTCTTGAAGAGACCTGAAGTTTTCTGAGCATTTGAGGCAGCTACCAATTCATCATGTATGTCTGGTGGAGTGTGGCTGAGCTGTAACCTTCTCTCATCAGCTTCCTGGGAAGGCCACATCACCCCCAGAGCATCAATGTGAGGTTCACAAACAGGCTCTTGTCTGTAGGGATGATAAGGGAAGAGTCCAGCTGGGCCAAACCAGGGTCTGCTTACACACACACTGGCCTGTCAGTGTTCAGGAATCTGGGACTAACCCAGCATGGTTACACTGTTCCACTCACGCTGGCTTCACCTGCTGCCATGTAACACCTCCTGTCAGTTTGGCTGCTGATCCCTGTCCTCCCCAGGCAGCATCCTGTAAGAAGTATGGACTGCCTGGCTCTCCATTCATCTTACACTCTTCTTTTTCCCCTCTTAGATTGTTGCTGGTAATGTGCCCCAAGTCGAATCCACACGGACCATGTATGGCTCCACCATCTCATTCAGCTGCAGCAAAAACCACGTGGTGAGTGATGGTGATGCTGGGCTTTGCTTTCCACCAAGCAAGTGTCCCAGGGCATAGCCACAGGGCAACTGATGTTCCCTGTCAGCCACTGGCAGGAAGTGAACACAGAGTTAGGGTGCTTGCAGGCTGACACACCCCATTCCCCCTTACAGCTGAGCCTGGAGAGAGGCTCAAGACTCTGGTCAGCTGGCAGGAAATTGTGGAGCCATGTGGTACCTGCACACATGCTTCATAGTGACCAGGTTGCAAAGCCAACCAAAAGGTGCTATAACCTTCATGGAGCATGTGTTGCATGGACAGAGGCCACCTCTTAGGAGAGCTGACCATGGAAAGTGGCAGTCAGGAAGAGTGGTCAAGGACATGAGCACAGAGATTTGGAGTGTTGTTGGCATGATCGAGAAGTCATGACAGCTGAAATGGACAACCTTTGGGTGGTGAAGCCAGGATCACAAGTTGCTTGCTTTCTCTTTTAGGGGGAGCTTCTGGTGGGAAACAATGATGCCACAATCATCCAGAGGCACATGGAATTCAATGGGGGAATTGCTTATGGCATCGACAGGCTGTTGGAGCCACCGGATCTGGGATCTCGGTGTGATGAGTTCAGCTTTGTAGAGCTGCAGGTGAGCACTTGTGATGAGGCCAGTAAGCGTCTGTGCCATCTGTTGATCCCCAAGCCTGGGAAGAGGGACATCAGGAGGGCTTGGTGCTCCTCCTCAGCAAAGCTCCCAGCAGCCAAGAGGCAGAAGCACATCTTGAGTTGCTGTGAGGTTTCTTTCTGCCCTCCACAGGGATCTACAGAGAGCTGCGGACCCTGTGGCTTCGAGCCATTCTGCCCTGCTGGCTCCGTTGAACAGGTAAAGCTCTGAGTTTTGTCACCAAGGAGGCCTGTTAGGGGGCTGATGACAATACCCACACACCCCTCATGTTTTGGCAGCAAAGAGAAGGCACACCTGCATGTGGCAAGTCCCTTGGCTCAGTCACATTGTCCATGCCCTGCCCCAAGTCTTGTGGTCCCACAGGGCAGGAGCTGGGCTGAGCAATATGGGGTCAGGATCTCCGATGGTCTTTGCTTGGTCAATCTCTATATGTGTGACAGAGGCTGCCAGGGTCCCTGCAGCAGCACTGGGGGCTACTCTGGTGCTTTTTAGCAGAAGAGCTCAGCCTGGCCATTGGAGATAGACCAGGGCTCAGATGGTGAGCAGCCTTGGGGGTTGCACTGTTGCACCCCACTCTCATTGCATCACCCATTGTCTCTGCCAGACTTCTGGCATGTCCCTAAGGTATACCTGTGGCTCCTCTGTCACCAGCCCCATCTCATGTTAGCAAGCCTGTGTTACGTGTCATAAAACTGCATGAGTGGCATCAGAAAAGGTGAACCATCAGTGAGCAATGTGGCAAACTGTGTTTTGCCTGTTTCCTCGCAGGGGGGAACCAGGCGCTGCTACTATTACGGAAATCAGCTGTTGAGATACCCTTTTCAGTTTCACCACAACTCCCTCTTGCGGCGGTCCCGGCCACCCTCCCCGTGGGATCCCTTCAGAAGACACTTCTCTTCCAGGGGGCCTCTGAGACGAGGCTGCAAGAGGAGGTGCGTTGCCCCCCGGTGGGTCCCTCAGTGCTGTGCCAACCACTATGGCCGTGACTGTCGAGGTAAGTGACACTTTCCCTCCCCGGCCCTTTCGTGGGATGGTGGCACTGCTGGTTCATCACAGATGTCTGGCATCTGTGACTGTGCTTCCCTGAAGAAGGGTGGGCAAAACCCCAGGCAGGGAGCCTCAGCCTGTAGATGGTGCAGGGAACCATCCCCTGGGAGTGCATGTAGATGGTATAACAGGAATTCCCTTTCCTTGAAGAACTGCTTGTCCCCATGGAGAGCCATGGGCACAGGGCTGCAGGGGTGGCTGTCAGACATGTCACTCACCCCTAGATGTTGCCAATGCTCAACCATTCCCCAGCATATGCCCTCTGTGCTTCATCCATGGGCAGCCTGCATGTCCTTGGATGGGTCTGCTGCCAGGTTAGCATGGGGTGGTTGGTGCAGACTCGGCACGTTGCAGCAGAGGGTCTTCCCAGGCTGGAAGCTGTGCCAGATTTGTCCCTCTTGCCCTCATCCCTAAAGTTTATTGTCAGGGGATGTCCCCAGCACTCACTCCCCAGGCTGATGAGCAGATGCTGAGATCCAAGCGGCCGAAGTGGGCAGCTCACATGGCACCCGGCATGCAGGCAGCAGGTGGCTCCCCTCCAGCACAGGGTCACTTTGTCACCGCAGCATCACTAAGGTGCCCCATTTGCAGCGTGCCCGGGAGGGCTGGAGGCGCCGTGCGGTAACCGCGGGACCTGCGACGACAGAATCGGTGGCTCGGGGCGGTGCAACTGCAGCGCGGCCTTCATCGGGACCAGCTGCGAGCTGTGCGCGCCCGGCCGGTACGGGCCGGAGTGCCGAGGTGAGGGGAACTGGGATGGGGGGGGGGGGACAGCAGCACAGGGGGCCTGTGCGGAGGTGACTGTGGCACATGGTGCTACCTGGAGAAGGGGGAAGGTGCTGGGCTGACTCCTTTGCAGCCCACAGCATGGGAATCAGTTCCCACAAAGTCAGACTTCTGGGGCTGGGGACATCCCTCCCTGGTTTGACTCTCAAACCAGGACAGCCTCCCTGGGACAGCCATTAATCTAGCTGGAGTTTGAGATGGCTGAATGGGACATGCTGGGAGCAGTGGCCCGTGCAGCCCTGCTGCCCATTGCCTCAGCTGCAGGCAGAGGCCCCAGGGTCCAAGACCCCTTCTGGTTTGTCAAGCCCCAGTCTGGCAGAAAGTACTGAGGTTTCTTTTGACAAATCCGTAAGTTGTGATGAACCCTGTACAGAAAGAGCATTTCCTGGGACATTCTCAGCAGGGACTTGTGCCCCTGTGAGGTGAAGGCAAAGGGAGTCCCCCTATCCTCCCATCTCAGGCTGGGACTTTCAGGGTCTCCAGGATTGTTTTTGACAGCTGTATGTTTGCATGGAGTGGAAAACTCATCTCTCTTATCCATTCCTCACAGAGTGTAACTGTACTGAGAATGGTGTGTGCAATGGAGGACTGCACGGCGACGGCTTCTGCTTCTGTGCCGAGGGCTGGACTGGAGACAGCTGTGAAATCAGACAAGGTGAGGGATGCCAAGCCCCACTACCCACTATTCCAGGGAACCTGGTGCCATATGGCTGCTTGCCAAGTAGCTGAATTGTTCAGACAGCCAGTCAGAAATTTCTCCAAAAAGGAGGTCTCAGCTGTGGGGCTCATCCTGAGCTGTGGTCCACGCTGTTGAATTTCACAAGGGTTGGGGGAATGAGAAGGAGGATGAAAACTCTGCTTGATCCTGAACAAGTCCCTGAGTTCCAAGAAGAACTCCAAGAAGAGCTTGAGGGTGAGGTGAAAGCCCGAGGTGTATCTGATGGAGTAATAATCCTCTGTGTTTGGGCAAGGCATCTGCAGAAAAGCACCAGGGGGGTGGGGGCAGGCAGGGGAAGCATGGGGCAGGTGGCCTGGGGCTGGTGATGGCAGCTGTGCCCATGTTGGATCCTTCTGACACGTGTGTTCTGGTTTCAGTCCTGACGCCCACCTGCTCTCCACCGTGCCACCCCCAGGCCATCTGCCGCTCTGGCAACCTCTGTGAATGTGACCTGCACTATGAAGGAGATGGGAGAATGTGCTCAGGTGGGCAGGGGGGCACGAGGGGCTGGGCTGGGGGGTGCTGAGCGAAGGGGAAAGCGGACAATGTGACAATAGGTGGCCATCTCCTCATGGCCATATTGGTGTGATGACTGGCAGGACAGACTGACTACCAGGATGAGGTGCTTTAGTTAACCTGACACTTCTCCCTGCAGTGATGGACATGTGCAGCCAGGACAACGGGGGGTGTGCCAGGCATGCACAGTGCACACAGGCTGGGGTGAATGTCTCTTGTGCCTGTGCACCTGGGTATGGAGGTGACGGCTACACCTGCGAGCCCATCGACAGGTGTGCGGACGGCAGGAACGGGGACTGCAGCCAGCACGCCAGCTGCATCAGCACTGGGCCGGTGGGTACAGCCCCTGGGTCTGGGCACATCTGCATCCCCTATAGCCCCTCATCCTGCAGGTCCTTACTGGCAGGCAGGGGCTGTGCCCTTGGCCTGCTGCCAGGCTGTGCTGACTGTCCTGGTGATGTCATTCTGAAGACATTCTTCCCCATTCCTCTGTCCAAGGGGCACAAGCTGTATCAATCGTGGCATTTCTGGGCTGTTTGGAGGGGGCTCCAGGATGGTCCTTTAAGGACAAGGCCGGCCATTTTTGCAGAGGAACAAGAATTGCTCACTGCAGGCCAGAATATAGGACTGGGAGCATGATGTAGTGCCAAGATTCACAAGCCATGTACACCTGAAGCTCAGCTGCTGTTCAAACAGCACGTGACATGAATTAAGTGTCAGTTGTTGGTCCCTGTTCAGGTGGATGTGGGGGATGGGACAGAGGCTGAGTGGCTTTTCATAGCTCTGTCATAGTCCTGGCAGGCTATGAAGACATTCTGAAGGCTCATCCCCACCTTTATAGGGATAGAAGGTTCCCCAGCTGGCGTTTGCACAGTTGCACTCACACAAATGCCTTTGTGCTGCAGAACGAGCGGCGCTGCGAGTGCAAGCAGGGCTACGTGGGTGATGGAATCCAGTGCCTGGAAGAGGTCGTGCCCCCCACAGACCGGTGTCTGAGTGACAATGGGCAGTGCCATCGGGAGGCCATTTGCACTGACCTGCACTTCCATGGTGAGTGTGCTCAACCCTGCAGTGCCAGGGATGATGTTCCTGGAGAGGTTTCACTCATCCTTCACCTTCTGGCTGGGGCTCCCCTTGGGAGAGCTGGAGGGTGGGATGGCCAAGGGTCCAGGGACTTTGTACTGATTCTCCCTGGCCTTGGTATTTTGCAGACAAGACTATGGGCGTGTTTCATCTACAGTCACGCCGAAAAAAATATGACTTCACTTACGAGCAGGCTCAGAAGGCCTGTGCTGCAGAAGGTGCTTCCCTGGCCACTTTCCAGCAGCTCTCAGCAGCACAACAGGTCAGGGCAGGGATGCAGAGGTTGGGAAGGGGCCACCTCCATTGCCTGTTGGGGTGGGGACATGCAGTGCTTCTGCCCAGAACCATGATGTGTGGGTGGGTGACTTCTCATCCCCTCGGCCGGACCCTGTTTATTCCATGTCCATCCATGAAACCAGGAGGGCTGGTGGGTCTTGCCAGTCACATTGGGATGGGATCTCTGGCAGTGCCCAACTCTTTAGGTATTGGGTGGATGTTAGATAAAGCTGCACAAAGGCAGTGCAGTAAACCTGGGCTGGAGATACAATTTCTAACCTAATAAATTATTTGTCTCTACTAGATGGGATTCCATCTGTGCTTGGTGGGTTGGCTGGACAATGGCACAGCTGGATACCCCACAGCATACCCCAACCCCAGCTGTGGGTCTAACCGAGTGGGCATCGTGGACTATGGCTCCCGAAGCAACCTGAGTGAGACCTGGGATGCATTCTGCTACCGGGAGAAAGGTGAGTGGAGTGAGAACATTTCCTGGAGATGGTTCTGTTAGGCACAAGAGGCATGTCAGGGCAGCAGGCAGAGAACTGCCCTCAGAGCATGGGGCACAGGCAGGTGGGTACATCTCCCCACACCCCTTTTGGGAGGGAACGTGCCGAGGGGCATCCAGAAGTCAAGTGAGAGGTCACCACTGGCCAGTCCAGTCACATCTTGGTGTTCCTTTGCAGATTTGACTTGCACCTGTCGTGACGGGTTCGTGGGAGATGGGTACTGGTGCAGTGGCAAACTCCCCGATGTGCTCGCAGACCAGGCTCGCTTCTCCACCTTCTATTCTGTAAGTGATCCTCTCCTGGTTCTTCTTCAGCCAGGCAGAGGGAGGGATCAACTGTAACAGGGAGAAGTAATGGCTTGGTCTGTGTGCTGGGGAGGGGAGTGCAAACAGAACCATGTTCTTCCCAAGGCTGGGGAATGTTTCCTGTATCAGTAGTGTGCTGATAGGGAAGATCTCTTATATCTTCCAGATGTTGCTCGATTTTGCCAATGACACAGAAGAAGGGCTGGACTTTTTCATCTATTTGTCTGATGACTCCGCTCCCAAAACTCTCTTTGTCCCTCTGAATTCTGGCTTCACAGACAATGAAGTAAGCAAGCGGGGATGAGTGGCCACTCGAGGGCGCATGAATCTATCAGAGCCCCAGAGGGGAGCAGGAGGCTGGCAAAACTGGCTTGGTGGTGTGAAATAGTGGGGAAGGGGGAGGAATTCAGGTGAGAGGGTACCTCTGGAGGTCTCTAGTCCAACCCTTCCCTCAGAAGAGCCATTTAGAGGAGGTTGCTCAGAGCCTTCTCCACTTGAGCTTTATCTAAGGATAGCAGTTCCCCCACTTTCTTGTGTAGTAGTTCTGTGCCGTGTTGCCCATGAATTGAGGTGTCTTGTTTCTATGAAGAGTGTCTAGGCTTGGGCCGGGGGGGAGTGTGCACAGAAAGAAGGAAGGGGCAGGAGCCAGCTCAGCCCTTTCTCATCCCTATTGCTTTTTCAGACACTGACAGGAGAGGAACTGAAGCTCCACGTGTCGTCCAGCAATGTTGTACTGTTCAGCTACAACCTCACAACAGGCACCATCATCCCATCCCAGTCAGGATATGACCTCCATGTGTCAGACCTCCCAGTGGGCAACAGCACAGAGCCATCAGTAGGTTTAGCCTTTGAGGGATCAAACCCCTCCTCCCCTATGAGTTTTCACCACAGCTCTTGAGAGAGGGAACAATGGGGAGGCTTTCTGGTCATGTGATACCATCTCTGTCCTGTTCTGTAGGATGCCAAGGGGATCAATGACACGATGATTGTGGAGTGGGACATCATAGCTTTCAATGGCATAATTCACGCAATCGCAGAGCCACTGAAGATCCCATCGCCCATCATGCAGATTGGTCAGGTGTGTCCAAGGGCACGCATAGAGGGAAGGTGCTGAAACAGCTGGTGCCAGATCTGGGAATGGCAACATCCCAGGGACTGGCCTCATCCTCTGCTCTCATGGCACAGCTCATTCTGGCCAGGCTGCCTGTGGTCGTGCTGGGGAGCTGCAGTGGGTGGCCCTGTGGGAGATCCCACCGCTCTGCCGAGGCATGTTTGAAACCAGGAGACTGTTTTTGGATGCAGGTGAATGGCGTGGCACAGATACCGGGCTCAGTGGCCACAGGGATGCTGTCGGCACTGTGCTTTGCCCTGGCACTGGCTGCCGGCGCTGGTGTCACCTATTACTGCGTGAAGAGACGGCGCCAGGAGGAGCAGTTCGGGTATTTTCAGGTAAGTGGAGCCTGTGGGCTGGGAGTGGGGCAGGGGGATGGAGTCTGGGGAAGCAGTGGTCGGGGAGCACCACACATGGGGGTGGGGGAGTCCCAGTCTGGGTTGAGCTCCGGATGGCAGGGAGCAATGGGGTGGGTGTGCTGTGTCCTCAGCTCCCCTTCACCCTCCAAGTTCCACCCGTCCTGTGCTTCCCTTCCTTCCAGGCGGATCTCCGCACAGATGAGGAGGAGGAGGCAGCAGCACCGCAGCAGCCTGCCAGGCCCCGGCCCCAGCGGCCACTGGTCGCCCATCCCCACCCCCC